AGCTTTTGAACCAGTTAGCAACAAAGCCTCAAACCAAACTTCAGTGTCTTCTCCTCCTTCACATACCAAGGATCCCTTGCGCATCTTGTTTCTGGCCTGCAGCAGGGCACACAGGGCCCGGTCGTCATCTCTCTCTGTGTGGCTGGGGTCTCCTGGCTCACTCCACAGGTTGGTCTCCTCATCACGACGCTTCTGGACTTCACGGTTAAAGTACTCCAGTGGATCTTGACTGTGTGGTCAGCCAACACACAAGCACCCAGAAACACAATAACTACATATTCAAACATTGAGTTTGGATACATAATTAACCAAGTGACACACATGTAAATCACCAGTGACACTGTAAAAGGCATTTTTCTGTGAATTATGCTGTTCCTGGTGTTTATTATTTATGTGATATGTAGATAATAACAATAATACTACTCATGTATTGACTGGTATGTGTTGACATCTCTGCTTCTGGTTCATCTTACGGTATTAAAGGCTGCTTCTCATCCTCATCATCGTCGCCACCAGTACAGCAGCAGCAGCAGAACCGCATGCAGAATGTCTGAAAGGCTGAACCCATCTATTAAGAGCTGGTTTCAGTCTCAGAAGAAGAGCTTCTGGAAAAAAAATGAACAAAATACAACAGGTCAAAAAATGAGAAAGCTCACTGATCCCCCGACGCTAATTTTCAGCATCCCTTTCTCCAGGACTTCACTGTGGCTCCACACCCAGTAGAGATTTGTCCTCCTGCCTGAATAGAGAAGCTCGGGCAGATGGGAGCCCAAGAATCGGTGCTTATCATCTGCCTTACATGGAGGACAGTGAGAGCAATGAGCTACTCGCTCTCTCATCAAAACGCATTCACACACCCATAGCCTGAGTATACAGTCACAGCACAATCATGTGAGCTGCTCCATCTCTTGACCTTGTGTTTTGCCCCAAGTACGACACATCTCCTCCTCAACAGTAGGTCTAATTGCACACTGTATCCAACCATGGCTGTACTGATTTAAGGATTTCATTTCATAATATATGGCTACTAAATTTACTTAACTATACATAAGGTTGGATCACTGTAAATTTCGGATAGAATCAAATGGCATCATGTCCATGGAATTTTAAATTCTTTTAGGAGTTTGAGAGAAACAGCTGCACTCTGGTGAAGCATTGTGATGATTGCAATGGTACATAATGATCACAATGTGAAGGGTGACCCAGCCCGAAGCACACTTTAGGATCAAATCAAAAAGGTCCTGTTTTCAATGACATAAACACCCACTGCTGAAAAATAGGAGTACAGTACAAAAATAGATAAATAGGGGTTCTAAGCATAAACAGGTTGCATCTCTAATTTAAAGGAGGTGAACGATGTCATGAGCTCATATATTTTATTAGACAAGACAAAAAAAATATTGGTCAGTTGTTATGCCTTTAAATTAACATGTTTGATGAATGATCCCAAGAAAAATACACTCAAAGATAATCACTAAAGAAAACCTAAGTACTCTAAACAGGCTTCCTACCCCTACAGTATACCGTTGTTGAAAATATATGCTGCAAACATGAAGCAAAAGAAAAGGCTGATTTGTCATGTGACTGTGATAAAGGCACCAAATTATTGATATTAAGTGCTTTAATTTAATATTCCTTCCATACAGTGAGCAACTAATAATCAGTTGTGACAAATTATCCAAAAAGAATCTCAACAACCATAGTTTGGAAGAGTGGAATAATTTCAGACTGTGACTGCAGCTTCCACAAATAACTCAGCCGATAAAGTTCAATGCCCAAAAGGCCGACTGGCAGTGCTGCGAGTGTGTGTGATGTGGCAAATTAATACGCTCCTTCAAATCATGAACAAAGTGGTTTTGTGCCTTATTTCTCAAGACTGATAAGCACAAGGAAGAACAATTTACTCTTTGGTTCAACTCCACACAAGTGTGAACCAATGGCCAGACTTCAGCCTTTTCCCAGTTTTCATGACATATGCAAATAGAAATCATCATTTTTCTGAGGTACATCATAATACTGAGGTGCAGAGTTTGAAACACAGCTGAAACGTAATAGGCTGGAAGTGACATTTGTAAATGAGCAATCATAATGCATCGTAATGTAAGAAATTACAGAGAAACCTCATTCAGAGCCACATCTCTAGGCCTGAGGGAAGGCCGGCTCCAAACTACAATGAAAAATCATATCAGTACAGGAATAAGGGTTGATGATAAATAAGGAGCTCTCCTTTTTACCACAAGGCCACTTGTGTCTATTGGCACAAAAGACAGGCTTTAGTAAGTGTACAGCATCCTTATTAATGGACATTATAATCACCTTCATTTTATTAACGGAGCCTGATAAAGCATTTGCAACACAAACTAACATCCTCCAGATCTGACTCCCAATCCTGAAAGTGCAAAGCAAAGGCAGAATTTAAAAACCCTCAGTGATACACCCTCAGTTGATCAAATATTTACACCCTGGGAAAGAGGAGGGTGTCAAACTCTAGAGGCTTTCATCTAGCAGATCAGTGGTTTCTCCCTCTAGAGGCAATTAGCCTGTTAAATCCTATGGACCTGGTACAGGGTCCCGTCTTACGGTGCTATTTCGGGTACGTCTGTTTAGGCGAGTTACACCTTATAGCACCCTCGGGCTTAATAAGTTAAAGACCAAGTGCCTTCTTTCCTCATCTGTCACAGTATAGCTAAGAAGAATAAACTGCATGTCAACAGCTTTTACTCAGTACAACTGAATACTTGCTGAAGATATGTCTGTGAAGCGTTTGTCGTGGGGCATGTGCACCAGAAAACCACATTTAAGCATTTGCAATGAAAATTAAAAAAAAAGGCAGCAAATTAACTGTTAACATGTGCAGTAAGGTAATGCTCAGAAATGGCTGTTTCATGCCATTGTATCAATTCCTTTGTAAAAGCGAGACCGATGTCTGCACGGTGAGGATCACTTTAATCTATACTTCTTGTTTCAGCAAAGTCAACGTGCCCAAACAATGCTTTCAGGAAACTGTTTCCACTTTATTATGAGGGACAGGGCAAAATAATTCCAGGCCCTCTAAAGAATATGAATGTGATCACACACACACACACAAAAAAAAAAAACCCAACATTGATCAAGTTTAAGGAGAAACAACATCTTTGACTACTGAATCTCAACTTCTTGTGTGACTGAAATGTGATGACTGTGTGGTCACATGTCCCCCCAGGCTTAGAAGTGCAGGCTCATCAGATCCTGTAGCACCTTCCTTCATCTCCGCATCAGAGGCTCGCTGCTATGACCCATATCTGGGGTTTACAAAGATCAAAACAGGAGTGACACCTCTCAAACAGCTGTGGCACAGACGTGGCTCCTGTTTTAAGTGTGGTGGTGGTGGTGGTGGTGCTGAGAGTGGTGAGAGCGCAGGTCAGCAATATGTTTGCGTAAATGGGACATGAACTCAAACATGGTGGCGGCCAGGCTCTGGTGGATGAGGAGGCGGGGCAGGTGGCCCTGATGAGACAGAGAGTGTGAGAAGAGTGGGTTTTCTCAAAAATCATCTCCTAACTTGGAAAACACTGCCAGTATTTTCTATATTTCATATACTGATTTCTGTTAACAGATTTGAGCATAATTACCAAATGAATCATGTCTGAAATCCCCATTTGTGATATTCTCATTCTATTTTTCTGCACCGTGTCACTATTTGCAGCTGCAACAACTCCTTCCATAAACACAGACTAGTCAATTTCTACTGAAATTAAAAGATCTTGTTTCAAGCATTAAAATATGTTAGAGTAGCAGTAGCAGGCTACATGTTCTCACCTTCAAGTCTGTGTTCAGGACCCAGATGAAGGTGCTGACAGATGGATTACAGCTGGATTTGAGGACCACAAATCCTCCAGGGCCATTCTCTCCCCTGAGGTCAGCAGCAAAGGGGAAAAAAAGAGAAGACAGAGAAGTCAAGGAAATGAAACTAACACAATGGCACTTTTCTCAAATCGATATGATGTTCCTATTTCCAGGATCAGTGACAAGGAGCCCAATTGGAGGCATGGTCTGACCTGACGTAGCGGTTGCATGGAGGTTTGGCATCATGGTCGGTTGCCATGCCTGCAGATAGGTAGCAGTCTCGTTTGCGTTCCACTCGCCGAACATTAACAAAGTCCCTAAAGGAAGGGGGAAAAAAATATCAAATCAATAAAGGATGGAAAGAAAAGATGACAAATACAAAAAGATCTCCATATTAAAGCCTGCTGCTTGCCGTGCTGACGTACCTGGCGGACACAACTCCACCTGCTGCTCCAGCAGAGACATCATATGATACTAAGGTGTTGTCATCAACTCTCTGAAGGATCTGAAGAGAAAGCACTGTTAGACTTGAGCACGGCACGACCTGAAACATGTTTGCAAGTACAGATAGATGAGTACAGGTCACCTGACAGACAGAAACAGTTCTGTTCCACTGGACCATCTTCTCTGGTTGCAGAATCACCTCCTGGTACACGAGCTCAGCAGGACACTGCATAAGAGCCTGAACACAAACAGTCATTTATATCAAAGGCAAGTATGTCAGCAGCCATGCGTCTTATTTCTGAAAACAAAACCTCACTTAGAAATTGGTTGCATGCCATCCACTGAGAAATGAAGTAAGTCTAACCTGTTATGTTTTGGTCACATGATCCTCCAAGGTGAGGACTATAAAATTTAAAGGGTATTTTAAAATCCAATTCTCATGTGTGTTTGTGGTCACTGTTCTATTGGAACAGTGCTGCCGTGGGGTCTGTGTGCTTGTCTCTGCCTGAAAACCACCTCCTGGCAGCTCCTAACCAGTCAGGACACATCCTACATTTTGAGAGAGATAGGAGCGATATCCTAAATCAGGACTGCTGATATGCTCAGAGGACTTCTATTCCTCAAAGTAAAATGTATCATTTGGTGAAATTTTGATGAGTTAGGGGTGACTACCTAACGCTGAGATTCTTGATAAATATGCCCCCTGATGCCACACATTTTCTATATTATAAAAAGAATCACAATTTTGTTTAAAAAGATTCTACAACCACCAAACTGAGTCCATCAATCAGGCTGATCAATAACATCAACACACCAGCCATTAGACACATTAGACATTAGAAGTGTGCTGAAAAATAAAATCAAGGTTGCACTACAGTAATATCTGCACACATGACAGCGGTAAACCACTGGAAAGCAGAGCTTCTCATCAGACTTCAGCCTCCTCTGGAGTCCTTTGTAATGTAACACCAGTTCTTCTGCGAGGGCACCAGGAACCCTCCTTAATATCTGATTTAACACTCTATTGGTCTCAATTATTTCAACACAGTGCCATTTAGAGGTTGTCCAATACATGTGCCCACCAGATGCAAAGTGCAGTTAACTCAGGACCATGAACGCCACACTCATATACAGTAATAGAGTACAGGGCAAAATCAGAATCAGATATAAAACATCAGGGAAGATTACTAACTAAATGGCCTATCATGGTCTATACATGATAAATAAGTGCAGCATTACGAGTCGAGTCATGATTCCTTTGGGTCACTGATGGAGCATATGTTTACAGTGAAAACACAAAGGAGCACTGTACCTTGAGAATGAACGTCTTTCCATGGAAGGGAATCTCCAGGGTGTAGACAGAGTCTCCCATGTCCTGCCATGAAATGAAACAGAAGGGTCAGTATCACAATGCCTTCACTGGAGCTGGGTTTCGAGTGGCGTTTCAGAGTTCAGAGTCACACAGATGTCTTAATGAATCTTCTATATCCTCCTTTCTGTTCTAATTAGCAAAGACCAGAGTATAAAACACTTGATTATCTACACGGCAAACAGTAATAGATTGTTTTACTACTCTGAAAGTCCATCTTTGACTTTTATTTCATCACCTCTAACAAATTACTAAACTGGATCCGTAAGGATCTATAAGGATTCACATTCAAAACACAGTATAGCCCAGTGGATATGATACAGACAACATCATTAACATCAACAGTGGACTCAAATTCATTAAACTGCTATCAAACCTCTACCTTCCACATAGCTGGGAGCAAAACGTGCACAGTGTTTGGATTTTGGTCGTATGATCCATTTGAGAATCTCACACTTTTGGCTACAATGCTGGCCACAGAGCAAAAGCAGCAGCTTCAGTCCTTTGTTAGTCTTTCACATGCAATTTTGTAATGTTCACATACTCACTAGTAGTTATGCACATAAGCTGGTAAAAAAGTACTTCAGGTTACACTGTACACATGTTAGATTGTAGACAGTTGTGCTGATTTAAAATTGCATGCGTGAGACCGAAAAGAACAACTGAGGCATGTCAGATGTAGCAAACCTGTCAGTGGTAGCAGACTGGACTTGGTGAGCTATATACCCCCTTTACTCATGGCATTAAAATATATTCTGCATTGATGTATGTTATCAGGATAACAAAAAATACAGAACACACTGGGATCAAAATGGGATCGGATGAGGCACATCTACAAGTGATCAGGCTCACGTGGTCATGGGTTCTCAGCCATGAGTTAATGCAAAGACCCCTGGCTCAGACATCATTAGGACACTATTTACAGAAACCACAGCCTCTGGCGTGAAAAAAAGTTCAGGGTGTTGTTCTGGTTGGGTGCATTGTTTCATGTATTGGCGAGACAATAAAATACAATAATCTTTGGTTGTGGTGATGTCAAGGCAAACCACAGAAACGGCAGTGTTCACGCTACAATGTAATCCACCAGGAATACATGCTCACATGTATGAGACTGGCCAGTGGTACAATCTGCTGAGTAATGTGACGCTGCATTGCAGAAAAAGCTGAACCTGATCCAAGTTTTTTCTGCATGATGTAATGGTGCCCTGCGTCTCCCTCATACAAATGAACGTGAAGGGCTGCATTTTTGTTTTCTTCCCTCACAGTGTTATGAGGGTTATACAGTATCACCAATACTGCATAGCAGCTGTAAATGTGGCTCACGTCACGTCTGCTGAAATGGCCCTGTACAAGCCTACCAGTTGGGGCGGGGGGGTGGCGGGGCTCTTCTTTATTGAGAAATCAAATATAGTGATGCCAAGTAATACACCTACATTGTTCTTTTCAAATTTCCAGTTGTCCTCCTGGGCTAGGATCTGTTCCAGCAGAGACATGGCTTCACGACCCTGCCTGACATACTCCTTCTCCTGGAACGAGACAAATGAAGGTAGGATCATAGTCACCATCAGGTGAAGAAAAGCTTGTGTAATAGCTGAGTACAATGACTTCTCAAACTGGCATAGGTACCTGAGCTGTGACAGCACTGTGCCCAAGACCCTCCTCGTCCAGATCCTCTTCGGAGTCTGCAGACACAAATTCAGGGCCAAAGCTCAGTTTTGTAGCTCAAATAGAAAACACACCAGAAGGAATGAACCCATTAAGGCAAACTGTACTTAAGGCTGATTAGAAAAATGCTCTATAAGCATACGTGCCTACGAAAGATTCAGGTGGGGAGTAGAATTGTCCATCTGAAACAGCACGGGGGTACATCATGGGGGCACGCTCGCAGGCTGCATTCACTGCTGCTAGGTAGGCTGAGGCCAAAGAGGGAAAGCAGTTGAAAAGAAGAAGTTTATTTTTGTCTAGTCGTGTTCAGACTTGACTTGTATTTTTCCCCTCACCTCTTTCATCCTTGGTCTCCTGCGTGAGCACCTTAAAGTCAAGGAACCAGGTCTCCAACCACGCCACCACAAACGAGGTGATGGGTAACACATAGCCAAAGGCATTCTGGGACAGGAGCTGTGTAAAAAGACACCAGGGGGTAAATCCCAATTCCTTTTCCTCACACAACCTGAAAGTTGTTTCAGTTTGCCATCTTGAAGGACATCCTGAGGCTCTTATTCCTGCTCTGAGAAGTGAGGAGGCTGCCTGGAGGAGCTATGAGGGAGGATATACAGTCCTTTGTGGACTGACATGCCCCTTTATCGGACAGCAGTTGGTGACCGAATGCTTCAGATGAAGGATTGAAGGAAAGAACATTTCATGTCTCTAAAATTATGCTTCCTCATTCCTTTCTCCTTGCATCTTTTCTTACATGGGCGGGACTATGACAAGGAAAAGACACAAATGCGGGAAGTGTAGATGCAATTAAGAGAATCGGGACTTGCCCCTGGCCACGCTGAGACTGCATGGTGCTGAAAGGACCAGAATGACTATTACATTACATTACATTTTACTGTAATGCCTTGGACAGAAAAGCACGGCAGAGAGTGGTGGGGCCAGCAAAAAAAAAAAAAAAAAAACCATTGGAACTTCACTCACGCCCATCAAAACCACTGCTCAGAGACATGTCCTAACCAAAGCCAACAGCATTTCAAGAGGCCCCTTGGACATGGTTTGTCTGCCCTTTTGCCAGAGAGCAAACGGTACCGGGCCATAAGGTGAAGTATGGCCCTCTACCTATTATAATGTGTAAGAAGTACTTGTATTTCTCTCTATTTATTAAAGGGTACTGCTTTTTAGTGTAACTTAAGTTATATATTTATTTTTAACATAGTTTTTAGGTGTTGCTTTGTTTGTGGATGCCAATGCAAAATAATTTCATTCTGCCGTCTACTTATCTGGTGAATAGCCTGAATGACAATAAAGTTAATCTTGAACAACTTCCACCACAGAAGTGGGAGTTACACTTTAAGTTGGCTTTCTTAGCCATTGTTGAATATACGGTACAAAAGTAAATTCCATACAAAAGTATTTGACTTAAAGGAGTAAGCAGAGGTAAAATTCCTGACAAAAACACGTTTCTGAATCTCTGTAGTGCCTAAAACAGTAGAATCATAAAAACTCTTATCAGCCTGTCATCTGACCAAACAGCACATTACTGGAATAAATGCAGAAGTGAAAAAGTCAAAGTGGTTTTAGATGACAAGCCTCCACCACAAACACATTTACACACACACGCCCAACAGTTGAGTTGTGTTACACTCACGTTAGATAGGATGACCTTGAGAACAAGGAAGACAGTGGTCACCAGAGTGGTAACCTGTGTAGTAAAGAGGATTTGATTTGTGTTTTAATTCATGTTCAGCAGTGAACACAAAACATCTTACAGTATTTTACCAATGTGTGTTTTACTGTAACTGTGCTCACTTACTGCAACAAACAACCAATGCTTCAACCGAAAAACAGCATATCCTACTTGCAGACAGAGGAAACGAAACGCAGCGAGGAGCTGTGACAAGGAGGAGGAAACAGAAAATGACTTAGGGCATTTAATTTTGTCACATGCTGTTGACATGTTGACTTTGTTAACATTTCCCCTCTAGTGTCAATAAATGCTGGCATCTGACAGCTCCGTCTGATACTAGAAATCAGACTATGCAACAATGTAGGTAACTGATCAATAAGAGATGAAAGCTTTCTAAACACGATCAGGATTACACACATACGTTAAAACACCAGTGAAATCAAATGAAATGTACAAAGACCTGGATTGACCCACTTACAAAGATGTCAAAGAAGGAAGACCTGAAGTTATAATGGACGACCTCTTTTTCTAAATTGTCCCCAATTGTGTTGGAGATCTGTAGGAAAACAGAGCAGAGTCCACACCAGCATCAAACTGAGCCTTAACCATGACTACTCTCATTAAAAACAAGAGTGAACAGAACAAAAAACATTTCACTAAAGCCTCATATCTTCTGTCTGTTGAACCAAACTGAAATCTCACATTCAGCTCAATTATCCAGAGAAGTGAGATGAAGAGCAGATCAAACGTCACAAAGAGACAGAAGGTGCGACGGACATCAGAAATGGCCTTGCGCTCTGCAGGTGGTACAAGCCGGTATGGGGAAGGGAGAGACAGCGATGTAGAGTAGGAAGAGTTCATGGAGGCGATGGCAGGGAGGCTGTCCCCAAGCTCGCCATACTCTCCACCCGGCACTA